AGCAGGAAGACACCATTATCGCAACAGTCTCTCTGGAATCGTATGCTTTTATCACACTTGGATGCGTCCGTCCATGCAGTCCCGGCTGTCCTTCGCGACATTAAAAGATAAACGAACATCGATCTTGTCCTTCAGGAAGCAGTTAATTGTGTCTGTAGCTGATGACCGATGGCAGCACCAACTGAAGACCTGCGGCAGCTTTATCTGTACCGATTTAGCCTGCCAATAACCGATTTTTGTCTAATGACTGTCGATCGCACTGTCATCTCTTCGCTTCGACCAATCGTCATGCGTCAACTGTACGCAGGTCACCCTGGTGCAGGACGGAAGAAAAGCATCGTGCGAAGCTACGTTTACTGGTCCCGCATAGACCAGCGATTAGAGACACTGGACTAACAGTGTTCCCGTTATTGATAATCCACAAGGTATAGCCCCAACGTGGGCGCAGCCTGATAAGCCGTCGTAGTGGGCGCAATCAAAGGGCACTAGCTATCTAATCTTAAGCGATGAAGCGTTCAAATGGTCCGAGACAATCCCCTTATCACAGGTGATAACATCGTAAACCATCTGTCCTCAGGAGAATTTTCAGCCAGTACGTAGTTTCAGATAACGGAACCCGATTCACATCGGCGCTTTTACAGGATTTTTTCTATCAGAGTAGTATGAACCACGTTAGACACTCTGTCGTACCACCCATAATCAAATGGGCAGGTCGAAGGGTTTGTAGACACGTTTAAACGCGCGCTTTTAAAAACTCCAGGAGAGGGAACTACGGACAAAAACATTCGAGATTTACTGATGCTTTACAGAAACACGCCAAACACGGCGACACTAAGTGGATCCCCTTGCCAGCGTACCTATGGACCGGAAACCACGCACCTTCTTAGATTCAACGCTGATGTCGAGAAAATCGTCACTAACCTCAGTACACGCATATCCGTGACAACAATCGCAAGAGGCGATTAGGTCTACGCCCAGCGATGGTAGTGAGTCGTTTTGATTCCACAATGTATAAAGTGACAGCTGGACTGTAAAATCGGATAGGGCACAAAACCAACCTCATTCACGTCCTGACAATGTTACGGGTACTGATGAAGAAGTACTGCCGCTTGAAATATTGCTAGACACATTCAGGCCAATTCGGAACCCACTGACAACGCCCGTCCGGGTAGTTGAATTTTTGAACGAATTCTAGTTGACTTTTACCAAGGGTCGATGCAGGGGGTGGTCCCTGCTAACCTTAGAGGAAAGCTTCGCAGCTGGATGGTGCAAAACAGAACTCGAAACAGTTGACAGTCAGCATTGATCCGTCCAGGTCTGCTTGGCACGTTTGTGAACTGTCACATGTTAGAGCGACATCAACTGCATACTACAAGTTCCTTAGCTGGGAGCGTTTCTACATTAAAGTCGAGTCCAGTGGACGCACTCTATGATTACGTCAATAGTGAAGTTGAAGAGAAAGTGCGACAGCGTGGACCCGGGATTCACACCGTTGGAGATACTGAAGGACAACGACAGTTTGCCATAAACCTTATTACGTTTAGGTATTTCTAGAGTACACTTTCCTTGATCAAAATGTCTCAAACAGCACACCGATCCACCGGATCAAAGGCGCTTTTGATGTCGAGGAAGAAAGCTACGGCACCCCGACAATATAAGTGGCGATACTCCAACGATTGACGTACTGTGAAGATGTGATCAATACATCCTCGACGTAGACAAGATCGAGCTTACTCTGCACAAATCTGGTTTTCACGAGCGCCAGTCAATTTGTGAAGAACGGTAGAGGCAACCAAAGTAGAGGCATTTGGAATTAGACTGCGCTCCCTATGATGACCTGGATGATTCCAACGTCAGACACTCTTGTAAATCGGGCTATAACAGAGCCGCTCCATTCGGTTAGAACAGTTGCCATGATAGCGTTAGGAACAAGTCATGTAAATAATTTACAAAAGCAGGTACCCGAATTTGAAGAGACTTGGATGAAGTCCATCCGGTCCTGTGGCCTTATGAAATATAACAGCCTGATCTCATGTTCGACTAGTGCGCGAGGGCGGATTCAAAGAAACGGCCCACGGAGCAAAGCGTGCAATTCTGGTCGATTAAATTGCCCTTCAAAATGCTCAGTATAACGCTGCAGGCATTTTGACAAGTTATGGATATTTAAAGCAATAAGATCTCCTCAACCATTTGAAAAGCACAATGAGAAGACGAAGCTCGGCAGATGCATTCATTTCTTACCGTTTCTTCAGTGCCGAAAACGATAACGGGATGAAATACAACTGCAATTTGAGGCAAAGTTGCAAATAAACGAAAGGATAAAACGGAAATCATGTCACCACGTCCAAGGCAACCTGAGGCTGACCGAGTTGTTTTTGAACACAAAACTCCGGTTTGATCCGGCTTATTGTAAGAGCATCGGCGAAGTGGAGAAGACAGTAATTGGTATACCGCAGCAGAAGTTTGTATGACATGTTGACCTCGATCCGGTGACACGAGATCATTAGGTGTCTCCCGATCGAAGATGCTGGCAGCCTGTGTGAATGCGTAGCCTGAGCTGAGCATGCTTGTTGAGCCGTCTCGTGTCGGATCCACTTCGGAACGTGCTCCTTCATCACGGGAATGCTATATCCTATCAGTTCTGTCTGTGTAACTAGATCCGCAGTTACGTACATACACAATGGGAGTTGGCTTCGATGAGTTGAGTCCCCCTTCGGTGGAGGTCGCGACAACTTGTGGGTTCGGTCGATAATGTTAATTTTGGCAGCTCAGAATGTGTTCTGCGTGCAGCGATTAGCAGCCTAATGTTTCTCAGTGTAGCGATCTTACGCTTGAAGGGAAGCGATAAGAAAGTGTTTTTTTGGAGACGGTGGCATTGGATCCGCGTTTGGTTGGCTTAAGGGTACTTCTCGATGAACCTATGGGGGTAGTCATTTGCAATTAGTTTAATGGTAATCAGTTTCAGATATCGAGAGGTTGTCCACTCTTGATGCAGATGGTTTTCCTAACAGTATGCCACCTGCTGTCCATTTCTGGTACGAGATTGACAATCTTTCGAAGGCCAATAAGAGCAGCGATTAGTTCCATCTCCGATACCGAATGAGACCACCAGATTTCAAGGTATCTTTTCAGGCTAAAACGTAAATTTGCCCTTAGATCCTTGTGAGTCTCGCTGTGTCCGTTTCAAGCCTGATGGTGTCGGCGAGCATCCAGAAATTCTAGAGACTACGTAGAGACCCAATGCTTAGGCTGGTAATTCGATTTACCACATGAGAATGCGCCTGCTGCTAACAAGGTCCGGTAAACATGCGATCATTAACTTTCAACTGTGCTTAGTGAGCATTTACTCAACCCGAATGCTAGTGTGCTTCGATATGGAATCTGAACATATGGCTTTGCTAGTTGGTTGCTGTCTATGCGGTCACAACGTCGTCGCGCACCCGGAGATCAGCAAACATAAGTGCGGAGTCGGGGTCCACGCTTGTGCTCAAAATTTATCGAAGTTTTGGAAAACTCTCCAAAAGTAACCGATTTGCGTCTTTGGCTGGTGGGCACTAGGACACCCTCAGTTGGGTGCTAGCTGGAAACAGACCAGCAATTTCACATGAATGCAGCAAGTGGTCACGGTCATCATTACAAGAGCCAACATCTTTTTGGCCGTCCAGATGCAGTGCAACGCTGGGCAGTTTTCTAACTTGAGCGTCCAGGTCAACAGCCAGTACTAAAGTATCCGTATTTTCCTATGACGAAGGAGATCGCTCAGTTGGTGATAAAAATTATCCTTCCCCAAGTCAGCACTACAGTTTGTGGAGGCGTAGACAGCAATGACAAATAGACACTTATAGTCCCGCACGAATTCAAGGTGTTGAACGAGCCAGCCAGTCTGAGGGCACACATCCGGCTACTGCTTGGGATCCATTTGATCAAAGTGGTTTCAGCCTGGGGACTAAGAGCGATGCCCACACCGGCACGAGCGGAATTTAAAGCTACGTTATCGGTAGATAGAAGCAATGAGAAATTGTCGCTACCGTTACATGAAGGGTGGTTCAGAGTGAACAGAAACCTTGAGTAATGTAGATGGGAGTCGGACACACAGCAGATATAAGTGAATGAATACATATTTATATTCAGCGACAAGCGGTATACGATCCCTAGGTTAGAGTGATTGACAAAGCCTCTAATGTTGGGGCAAGTGTTGTCTGTTGATCTGTTTGCAACAGTGTGCACGTTGAAGTATATCAGTGTTAGCAAGGGTCGAGCGCACTAAATAAAAGTGAATGTGCTAAAGTTATCAACTTGGTTAGATATGGAATTGTGGACTGGATCACAGCGATGCATTGTGATTGCATGTGGGCCGAAACTAATAGAAGACAAACGCCTATTGAGGGTTCAAAAGATAGGGAATAAAAGCGAAGTTGGAACGGAACGATAAAAGGGGCAATAAAATATGAGAATAACTTAACAGTAACGTCTACACTCCCGTCCATCTCTCGATGCAGCAGATAGTGGCAAGCATAACATAAAGAGGTTGATTGAAAAAATAGTAACGTATTGAGTTGAGAGGATAGTCTCAGATTGTCGAAGCCTGGAAATGAGGACGATTAGGGTCCTCACCTAGCTTTTGCTTCAAAAATCTGACCGCAGTTGGCTACAGATCCCGTCTTAAGGAATAAAGAGCCACCTCAATCAAATCCCGAAGCTGGGGGGGCTAGAAGATTGAGTTTACCTAGCGTCTAAGCACTGAGCAATCTGGTATGAATGGCTATGTAGGTTCAAAAGCACCACCCAGTATAGCTCGATGGCTTAAAAAACGCAAAAGACCGCACCATGTCAAGGTCAAGTGTCGTCGCGATGGGAGACATATAGAGCAGATTTGCGCGAATTAAGCCAAAATTCGTCAGTGGGACTAAAGACTAAGATTGAAGAGTAGGCAAAATGTGATAATAACAGAGAGAAGGTTAGATAAGTACAAATCAAGATATGTAAAATTATTTGCTTACCCGCCGATGATAGCTAAGAACGGGCGCTGGGGTTGATCCAGCGCCTTCGCGAAATAGGTCAACTCTTTGTCCATTAGGAAACCACATGCCCTAGTAGGTAACTTGCAGCCAACCATGGAGCTAAAAGAGAAGAATATCATGAGTAAGGTTTGTAGACGAGGAATGAGTATCAAAAGCCAGGGTGCAGAGTCGTAATGGGCCTTCAAATAACTGGAGTAAATGTCGGAAAAGGTTATATCCATAGAAAGCGCCGGTGGGTCTGAAGCCCGACGCAGTTATAACGTCAGTCTTGATCTAAGTAAGGATGAGGGTAGTCCATTCGAAATTATCAGTGAATAACCTCGGGACGTGGTTCGGCATGAAAATCCGTCCTACAATAAGCGGTATGATTATAAAATGCTTCTGAGTATGCGCCCACCGTCGTAACTCGGAGGACATGCAAGGCAGCCTTACACAACAACGGTGCTCGCTTACAGTACGGCCAGAAACAGACATCGTAACTGTTACTGATTATACGAATGTAGGAGAATATTGATATTCAAAGCTGTGGTGGATATTCGGCGCGCTGATATTGGGGATGGATTTCGTCAATGGTGCACCGACCACAATAATTACACCAGTAGCGCGGCAACGCAGGGCAAAATTTTGCAGAGTTAGTGCACACTGAAGGGTATTCATCGAAAGCAGTACATCAAACATTTGTACTGATGCTTCGCTGCCATACAACCAAATTGTCTACAGTACGAAGAACAGTAAGATGGAGAGAAGGGGGACCTACGGTAAAACCTTAATACCCTAAGCAGACATGTAGTGTTAAGGTGACTGCACCCTGTTAACAACATATCATCACAAACAGTTGGCTCTCGTGCAAAGATAACGCGGCATCGGCGAGACAGCTTCCCTGTGGTTTTCAGTGCTAAGCGTTATAATCAGCCATTACTTCTCAGATAACTTAGCAGCGAATACACCATAAACAGGCAGTCCGATTAAGGTACGGCAACAGACGCACCAGTGGTGTCAACTGCCAGCCATGCCCTGTAAAGTCTCGAGTCAAGCACAATGCGAGTCACGTGGACTTCAGCCCGGAAGGCAAGACGGACCGACGACACCGAGTTTGGTCATCAGTGACTTCATTTCCCGCTGCCAAGTCAACGACTGTCCACCTCGAGTCTTGCGTCAGTGCAGATCTGGCAAACATAACAAGGCCCTCCTCGGTAAGCAGTGATCAGGCATACATAACACGTGCCTATGCCAACCCAACTTATCAGGTGCTATCTGTTGTTCTAAGTAAGCAGCTTGGTTATCACCGCCCAGTACTCGGCTGCGCACATCATTATTGCGGACACGCTGGTGCCACCCGACACCAGTAATGCTTCTTAGACAAAAATGAGCAAAGACTTGAAAGCGCCGCAGGTACTCAGACCAAAGGGGCCAAACCTCATTCTCATAGATTAGGACGGCCTTCACTGCGGTCTTGTAAACATGGCCCTTCAGACAGAGGGAAAATGCTTTTTGTCGCTAAAGATATCTCAGATTCAAGAAGGCAGTTCTGGCTTTTGCAATACGTGAACTAACTTCAGGTGCCATGCGTCCATCGTTGCTGATGCAGCTGCAGTAGCTGGGGTTATCAACTACCTCAAGTTCATCGCCATCAAGGGGTCCTCAAATGGTTAGTGTTCCTGCAGCAACAGTTTGCACTTTGAAGGTGTGAAGCGCATACTAAGTACTGTGTTGATTGGACCGCACCAACATCAGTAAACAGTATGATATCGTCTGCATAATCAAGATCAACTAGCCTTTCACCAGATAGCACGTCAACGACTGCATCGAGGCTCCGCAAGGAAACACCCCATGATGGAGTCCACGACGAAAGTGAACAGAAATGAGGAAATTGGGCAACCCTGACGAAAGCCACTTGTTGGCGGAAAGCTCTCCGACAGGTCACCATACATCCTGACGCGGCCAGTAGTGCTCGAGTAGAGTAAGTAAAATGTACATATATTTCCTGGGAACACCTTTCCGCGCAAGTGTTTCGACCATAATGCATCAACCGACTGAATCGAACGTATTCTTGACGCAGAGAAACACAGCTGATATCGGTCTGCAGTAAGCATGGATCTATTCTAACACTTGCCGCAGAGTGAATATATGGTCTATACAGCCACATTCTGGGCGGAAACCTGCCTGCTCTTCCCTAATCCGTGATTCCGGTTCCGCAATGAGGCGAAGAACGAGAATTGAGGCCATTAGTTTGGTCACAACTGACGATAGGCTAATACCCCTGTGGTTACCATAGTCGGTGCGGCTGTTCTGATTGTATATAGCCATTATAATCGATTCGCCTCAGTTAAGTGGGACGGTCTATTCCTTTCAGACAAGTTCGAACAAGGAGATCAGTGCTTTGCAGGAGACCTCAGCTCCATCCTTAAATAGTGCAGGCGGGAGAGCATCCGGATCAGCGGTACGAAAACATTTGAGGGCTGTGATCGCACTTCGGACCTCAGCCATTGATGGAGCCTATAAACCAACCGTTCATGGCTCATCCTGCCCCCGTGAGTAAAGAGAGGTCTAGAAGCAGGTGGACAACTGAACTGATCTTGAAAGTGCTCCGCCCAACGAGCCATACGGCACTACTTATTGTGAATCAGTGCGCTTAAGCTGTCGCAGATTATCTCACTGACGCCTGGTTTCCTGGGATCAGTGATATGGATCAGCTGGAAGAGCTTGCGATAATTGCCTACTGCTCCTGTCTCTTCCATTTCTTAGACCCGACCGGTCCACTAGGCTTCTTTGTCAACACGTAGGCTCTGCTTTAGTACCCGCTTAATAGTCCATCTGGTCACATCGTGCTCAGGTGCAGCAGGGAGGTTCCTACTGTATTCCAACAGGTCCACCGACCTCTCGGATATTCTTGGACTGGTGAGGTGACAACTGATTGTACCACAAGCAGATGCCTCTGCGCCGTGGATGGCGGTCGTTATCCTATGCCACTGAAGCTCAATGTCATTAGGAAAAGACAGCGAAAGTTCGGTACGCAGTGTATTCGGGTAGGCTTGTCTGATCGTGAGCTTAGACAATTTCTTAGTTGCCAATCCAGGGAGACCCTTGGTACGACTTCCGGTAAAGTACATGGGAAAACGACAGCGTACTAAAACATGATAAAAACCGACGCAAGTACTCCAGAACGAACGGCAATATAGGATGGAACCACACCAGCTGTAACTTATGACAACGTGATCTAGTTGGATCCACGTTTGCCAGCTACATGAGGACGCCAAGTGGCACTCTGGCGTCCACTGTGTCTAAAAGCGGGGCAACAAAGAAACAGCTGGTGTTCTGAACACAGTTGCAACAGAGGCTCGCCGTTGTTCGTCCGTTTGGAGTTAATCCCATAATTATCACCTAGCTGAGCTTCTGAAGAGCCCAGGCAACCTAATGGTGCATTTATATTCCCCGAAAGTAGTACGATGTATGAACTGGTAGCACTGCGTGGTAGCGTGTTTAGTTCTCAGTAGAATGTGTCCTTGGCAGTATCAGAAATGCAGTTGGTGGAAGCATAAGTGGAAACCGCGAACAAACAACGTCTTGTACTACTTCGTGAACCAATATTTTGTGATGTCGCCAAACGGGCTGCACATAAACGGCTGTTCATGGGAATTCCATCAACTAAGGATGACAGCCTTGGGGCTAAGAACAAAGCTCAATCCAGCCTGACCAGTGGTTGCCACATCAGCATATCCGGACGCGTGCAACCAATAGCGAGAGGACAAGCCGAGCGCAGTTAATTAAACAACTCCTTGAGGAGCATTTATCCTAGTTTTGGATACATCACATACATCAATAACCAGTGTGTACAACGTACGTGCGAGTGCTGCCTGTTGACCTACTTTGCTTAAAATGCGAATGTTGAAGGCCGCCAGGGAAACGGGACAGCATGGCTTTATAACGGACCGTTGCCGATAGGCATCCGATACGTGTTGTGGGAAATTGACTGCAGATGATTCTACTCCAGTGACATTTCGGTTGCTGTCAATTAAGCTGGGAATTTTAGGAGGTTAGTAATGGGGGTCAGGATGGGATATAGAGTAACAGGTGGAAAAGAAAAAGGGAGGGGCCAGCAGTAGCATGTTTCTTCTTATCCGGATACAGGGCAATGGTTCGATAAAAACAATGTGTCCGCTGTACGCCGTAATTGCGCTTCGCTGCCGCGCGACCACCATCAGTCGCAAGCGGACTGAGCACACCGCGAGGACACCCACACTTAAGCGGATTCGAACCCGCGCCGTAATGGTTAGGGGTCAAACTAAGTTTTACAGTCTTCGGGGATGGGGACAAGTCGATTATTCACTTCTTTTAAAGCTTAACCATTGGTGACCAAAGGTGGCGGATCATAAGCGTAACATTCGATTGGAGCAGAGCACGAGTGCAACGCGTTGTTTCTGACGCCGGGACATCATCCGGTGCTCTATGATTTGTTACCGTCTGCCTCAGACCAGACAGCCCCTGGTGGGTACAAACGAGCCCACTCCAACGTGCGACTGTTCGTGGTCGCAAGTGCGTAAGATAGTGTGGTCAAAAACACATGTGAATTAGTCTCCATTTTCAAAGGCAGCATGGGACAAGCCTCGAGCAGATTCAAATGGGTCACTGCAAGCACATTACTGAGCTGGACTTGCTTCCCACTAACTTGTAGGTTAGGTTATTAAGCCAAAAACTTCAGGCTGTCTACTTCACGTGCATCTCTCTGTACCACATTGTGTTGTAAATCAGGCAGTTGGGTCTGGTACTCGAACAAAACCCCTCTCTCAGAATAGGCGGCCGGAGAGTATCACCTGCCTGTTTGAGTTCGTCGATAACATTCCTTTTTGTATCTTACCATGCCCACAACTATCTTTTTCCTCGTTTATTGAGTAAGAGACTTCCGCTAAACTGGAGCTGCTGTTATCGATACAAGTAGCTTGTTCCTCAAACCAAGCGTCTCATTTAATATTGGTTCGTGTAACGTCAGCACTCTGGGTCACATAAGCCAACGAGAAGCACTTGCTCTAACTCTTCACTCTCTAGGTATTGATGTGTGTTGTTTTCGAAACCCATACAAGGTAGCAACATCTCTGACTCCGAATCTCAGCAAAGACCACACTTCGGGTATTTGGCGATACGGTGGCTCAACGTATTTACGGTGCTGGTATCGCTTTTAGAAAACGTAGTGAATGCAATCTATTTGATGCCAGTGAACAGCTGCACGTGTGCAGTCCAACTTCGAACCTCTATTGCGATTAATGAGCACAGTCTGAAGACAAGATACCTTGCATCGCCTAGGGTTATGCCCCTACTGACTGAAGTTCGGATGGTATCAAAGATGGTTGCTATCGTGAACTCGAATCCATTCACCGCATTACGAGAAATATACATCGTAATTGTTGATGGTGATATGAATGCCTGTGTCGCCTTTCAAAATCTGAGCAACACCCGGGAAGCCGCTTAGGGGTCCATGCTCGCCGAACAGACAATGACAATGGATTCCTGCGACTATGTAACGACCATAACCTTTATATTAGCAAGAATGCTTTCTAGCACAAAGATTCACATGGTGTCACTGGGATTCCACCGCATTTTTAGATGACATGGACCTAAATTGACCATAATGCCAACAGCTACGGATTGTACACATCCGTAAAGGACTGTCGGCCGATTTGGAGTACGTGTAGGAATTCCGACAATACTCTAGTGCGCTCACGCCTGGTGCCCACTGTTTCCGCTTCAAAGAAGCACCCAACATATAAGTTGCTCACTTGTAACTTGAACTTGCAGCCCGTAGTATAAAAATATCTTGACGAACTGGCCCACCGGTTGTAAGTGGTGGGTAAGGCTTGTGAGCCGAACACTGACTGGAATTGTTTTAAGTATGTCATAGAGAAGGCTTCTGACGCCTGTTGTGTGCACAATTTGAAGTGTCCGAACTGTGAATGGATCTGAGACATCGGTGAATTTGACCGAAGCAGGTGCCACTGGGTACCGAGTTTCAGCAGGCTCGTAATGCTCTGAGACGGTGACTGACAAGGAGTCTACGAATTGATCGGGAACGTTGGTGGGCGAGATGGGGAAAATCAGCGCAATTGGGAAAAGCCGAATGAAGTTACAGCCCATCCAGAACACGGGCCCAAGAAAGCCCTCAGTCTGTTAGACAACGTCTGATGGTTTTCTCCGATCTGAAAGCTGCCTGACTCCGTTGCTAGTGTCAATGGTGGCCCCGCCTATCCGTAAAAGGGTGTGCCAATGAAGCTCCTTCCCAATTCTGAAATCTCTCTCCCGCGACTTTCGAGGTGGGGTATAGGACTATAAGAAACTGTCTTTAGAATTCCCCAAGTGGAGTTCACCAGGGTTGTCTTATATCACCTCTCTTCGTCAGCGTTGTGATCGAAGTGATCATAGTAGACTCCGTATTTTTCAGGCAGCTTCTGCCAGGTAGCCGACTGATAAATCTTGAGTCCGCAGACGATACTGCTCTCAGTGAGTCGAAAGCGGTGGCCACGCGAGCACTAGTGGATAGATTAATGCGTAGTGCTACGCGCGTCAGTATGTGCTATACACTTTGAAAGTGCAGTATTGTTGCGGGACTGACTCGACATGCCACCGTGCCGTTGGAAGTGATGGATAGGTTCACATGCCTCGTAAAGTGTCAGCTGTGGTGGCTACTTCGCGTATCAGCAAGGTCTGTGTGATTTTCCAGAGGTTCAACCATCTCTGGATAGGGAAAGACATCAACCTATCAAGGAAAGTTAGGGTGCATGACGCTGCGATTAGGTCGGTGGCAGTGCATGAAGCAGACACCTAGTCAGTTAGCAGTGAAGACACTAAATAATTGAGGGTTTTTGATCAACGGTGCTTGCGGAGCAATGCTGAGATCTGATCAGAATACTGGCTGAATAATGCCGAGGCCCTCCAGTTGGTTTCTGGCAAGAAACCCGATGGTGCCTCGCTGCAGTGTTTGCTAAAGCTTAGCTGCTTGAGTTGGCTAGGCCATGTCCTCCGTATCCCCGTTAATCGCCTTCATCGGCGCGCAGCATATGCTGTCACTGCACTAAGTTGGGCGAAAATGCGGAGTGGCCAGTCGATGATGAGGTATAAAGAAATAACCAGAGACTTGGTCATACTGGGACGTACCGTGTTCGTGCGTCGGGATGGTCAGTGGTTGAAGCCTATCGAATATGACGCAGTTGTGCAAAAAGTGGGGCTGCTTCATTCGGTTTCTAGAAACTACCTGCTAATTTTTATTACATTCCAATGATTTTTACACACATCTTCCTTGACTCTAACTTCCTTGTATTCTGTTCGAGTTCAATCTCATTTTCTTACCATTGTTATTTATTGTTAACTTGGAGACGCGAGTCGCGGCAACTGGATAGGCTGCACTTCGGTGACCGGATCATAGCTGTTTAAACTGAAATGAAACCGAGGTCAGTGCATACCATCTTACTGGATGGGTGTTTCGGATCGGTCATACCGTGTGTTAGGTGAGCCGTCTGGCATGGTTTGATGGTAATATAAATGAGCCGCACACGCACCGCCTCCTACTGCTCCTGTTACTCTTTATATTAGTCAGGTTTATCTTAACTATTTATCACCAAGTGTTTTTCTATTTGCGTTCTCCTATTTCACAGCCATTATTAATTATTACTATGAGGAAGATGTGAGAAATATCATTTTGGTCGCTCCAATGAACCGGAATGACTTAAAACTCTCCGTTACACGACGCTTCAGTCAGAGACCCTTTAAACCGCGTTGCCTAAAGGAAACCCTTTCAGAGCTTCGAGCCAACTAATGGAAATGTTGAAAAATAACGCGCTATCTAGATGCAGCAAATATGCGGATACGGAACTTGGAAGGCATTACTCGTGACAGATTGGAGATGACTTCGGGGAGCACGTGGAGGGTGACCTGCATTGGGTCACATTCGGCGTCGACGCCATAAAGGATAAAGCAGTGTAAGTCGCTGCCTCAAATAACAGCCTGTTGCAGGCTGAAAGGAACTCAGAGGTGTGTTGCTGTGTTTGTGATGAAAAACCCTTCGTGTGCTTCTCAAAGGACCGATTCACCATTAGGCCGAACATCCTTCGAGATAGCACTCATCATAGTGGGTGGTTGACTGGTGGCTGCAAGAATTACGCGCTTGCCTTGTAATTCGGATGTCATTGGTCCGAATCCGTAAGGATGCGCGCGATTGCGTGGTATATTCAGCCCACGAGCAGAGGTTGGTGGTCGCATGGCTGCGAAGCGTCGCCATGATGTGCCGGCGTACTGCTGATGCTGTTCTCTTTTATCCTCGAGGTGGGGTCAGTCCAACAATGTTTCCACAGTTTGAATAGAAGGATTGCCAGGCTTTAATTGTAACGCATACATACGAGGTACGCACATTCGGGTTCAATCCTCACCTTCACACTGAGTTCGCAGTAACACTCACTCGGGTTAAACGACCAACCATGTACCCATGGGTGAACAAACGTACCGGGAAGTACAAAACCGAGTCCCCTTATACAACCAGCTCTTCTTTAGTACAACTCCAAGAAGGAAATGCCGGTTATGTGCTAGTTGCAAAGGTTTACTTTCGTGTACTATCCTCCCCATATGAAGTAACTGTAAAATATCATCATGTTCAGCTGGATGCACTCCATTCCAATTTATTAGCACAGGTATACTGGCTGTCACCGCAATAGTAAGCTGCTAAGAGGCGAAAGGGTGCAAAGCATCAAAGCAAGCAACAGTTGTTCGGTTGCTCTCCTTTGTTCAATGTACATCTTGCTGCACGCTACAGAAAGCTCAGAGACGATGTGTATAGTCACTTAGTAGAACAAGACTCAGTTTTCAAGAAAAAGATGATATTCTTCGTGAATAGTATTCAACATTTTTATTTTCTGCCTAGATTTGCGAAAATTCGAAAGCCGGCTATCCTGTAGGCAACGCCGCGCTTGCAACAACTCGCTATTTTGAATTATTAACGTTTTTCCTGCCCATTCCTTTATTAGCCTTAGTGATATATTGTTTTTTTCGGCATAATTACCTGTAGACGCGAGTCAAGGTAAACTGATCCACCGTGCCTCGGTGCAAAGGTGTTAATCAGTAAACAGACGAGAAATACCGACGGGTAGAAGAGAGACTTTATCGATATCTGTAACCGATCGGCTTTATTAACGGAAGCCATTGCAATTAAGCTCAGGGTTGAAGACTCCATAATTAAAGCTACGTGACCCTATGCAAAAAGACACCGACCGTTATTTCCGACCCGTTGTGGACCAACTTTTGTGAGATAAGTATGGACAATGAATATCTTAAAGGAAACGAATGAGATGACCTGTCATATACCGCGAGATTGGCACGAAGTGCTAAGAATATATATCGTTCAGTTAACGAGTGAAGAGGCGGTCAGGGAAAGGTACATCAAAGAAGTATGCTATAATCACGCAAGTATTTGATATGAAACATGGAAAGTGCGTATTTTGGGTAAGATCATTCCGTATATTAAGCCCGAAGCTGGTGACAGTCATTGAGACAACATCTGAGTTGGTGTTGTCATAGCAGATAGAGAAATTCATGGGGAGAGTTGGAGGTCGATAAGCATTACTTTGTATCGTGCATCAACAGTTGAGCACTAGCCACCCAGATAAGATCAGCTGGAACATCATGTACAAAGCATTAAAAAACGCGGAACACCGACCGCAGAAAGAGCGCCCATAATTTTGCTTATACTTCAAAAGTGGTAAAAAAGAGCCAGTCCACTAAATGCTTTGATTTTGGAAGTGGACACCGACTACAAGAAAAAGAATTAAAACGTAAGCCAATGAAACCTTAAAGGACGATAGTTACTTTCTTATTCGGAAAATTCAAAAAGGAGAAGAAACAGTAAAAAATCGGTAAAACTGGGGGAACAGATTGGGAAAATGGGCGCTTACGCATGGGCCCTGTGTGCGGTTCCAAACGCATCATTGACATAAACATCACCCAATTGCGTCAAACTGTCGCTGAACGCTTTGACTTGCTCAGGGGTGGCCTTGAGCTATAAAAGGAAGAAGCAAGATAAAAGCTTACAAGAACCACATAAACTTAGACTTCAGCCGTAAGGAGGCTCAAGCTAGCTAGCGAATAGTAGATGTAGAACTAATTGAATGATAATGGCAGTTGGTGTCGCAAAAAACGGCGAATGAAATAGATCAAAAGATATATGAACTAGAAAAGTATTAGCGGATGAATATTTTGTCTGATAGTGAAAGAGAAATGAAGAGAGACTATAACGTAGATGACCTGGAAATGTAAATGACTCGCAAGGCGCTGTTACAAATTGCCGGCAGATTAACTGACGCTTAATAAGCTAATGCGTAGGGATGTCCAAATGAATGCAATGTTAACTAACTCAGTTGTTGACCCCAAAACAGTATTTCAGCAAATCAGAAATGATTTGATAGTCGAAGTGCGGTGAAGCAAGCTGAAGTGACTAATGAAGTAGAAGAGTGCAGAACAAATAGGAGGGAAACGCAAGCAGACCAAAGAGAGATCATAGGTAAATCGTGAGAAATTTATCGTGCAAGAGTCAACAGCAAGAAGGAAGAGACTGCGAACATAAACTTCACAGACATCATAAGCGAACCACGTCGGATGGGATGCCTAAAAAGCGACACGACCGATCCAAGAAGCCCATCCAGGAAGGCGGCATACATTGTCGTAACAAAACATTGTGGTCAAAAGCTTCACTGTTCGAGGCCAGGTCATCCGTTTGTCTCACTGAATTTCAACTAATAAGGCGTATCATGACAAACAATTCACGAAGAAGCAATGGGGCTGAGAATAAGCGAAAAACAGCTTAACTAATGTAGACTGCCAACGTTCACAAGACGGTCCACTGCATCGCCAAAGGACTATTCGCGAAAACCAACCACCAGAAGGTGGGATTACCACACTTGCTATGGCAAAAACAGCATTCCCAACACCCAAAAGTTGTGCATCTGACCCGCACCAGTTCAGTACGTTAAGCAAAAGCAGTGCGCCGAGGTGAGATTGATCATGTGTTGACACGTAGCGACAGTGATATTAATAAGTTATGAAGTGAACAAAGAAAAATTCCGTCTCAATGTGGTACGATTTGCGTACCTCCTTGAGCCATTGAGCTATACTGCGTGCTGCCTCCGGGTCCCTTGAGCGCTACTCCTACCAGGTTGGTCAATTGTGAGAGGTCAGACAAACTCAGTCTCCTGGTAATCCAGGTTGGGGATTTGAAATGGGATAGCGTCCATTTAGGTAAAACAAAATCATTGCTACCACCCCGCTGCTTTGCGGACAGGCTTTTGAGCCAAAGGCTTTGGTTGTGGACCCTAATCATCCTCCTGTCTAGGTCTGGGCGCCCTGGCAGTATCTTAGCCCAAATACAACCATGACAATCCCTCAAACTTAAACTATATCCTGCATCAGCCGTCGCGCAGATTATCAACAGTCGCCTTATCTGTTGCATACATCAGGAGGGATAATCGAAAACCAGACCTTACTAGCAGCAGGCAAATCCTCATATGGTATGTCTAATCGCCAACATGGACATTGGGTCTCTTCACAGTCTCTGGAACTTATAGATGCTCGCCGGCATATTCCGGCTGGAAACGAACACAATGAGACTCGCAAAGAGCTCCGGGCAAAACTCCGTGTTAGCCTGAAGAGAGGCCGCGAATCCTGGTGGTCTCATCGTGCTTCAGAGATGGAAATGGCCGCTGCCCTTGGTAACCATCGTAAGTTATTCCGTCTGATACGGGAAACGGGCAGCAGGAGACCTGGTGTTAGTGAAACTATGCGTGACGAGAGTGGACAGTCTATCCACAACTTATCGAAACGCTTAGAGCTTTGGGCTGAGCACTTTAAAAGGCAATTTAATCAGTCGGAATGGTTAGATTTCTCGCCGGCCACTAATCGCCCCGCTCCTTGGGCTGTCCCTTTGGATTCAACCTCTCGCTCAGAAGTCGAACGTGAGATCGAACTGCTGAAGTTAAATAAAGCCGCGGGACCAGATGACCTTCCTCCAGCCCTTTTCAAATTCGGGGGACCTGCTCTTGTGGATGATTTATACGAGTTACTAGTCAAACTGTGGGAGCAGGAAACTGTCCCAACCGATTGGAGCCGCTCCGTCATAGTCCCAATTTTCAATGGAGGCTCACGATCGGAATGCGGCAGCCATAGAGGAATCAGTCTGATCTCCATCGCCTCCAAATTGCTTGCCTCTGTCATCCTTCACAGACTGACTGGCACTCGTGAAAGCCAGATTCGTGAAGAGCAAGCTGGATTTCGTCGAGGTCGTGGCTGCATTGACCACATCTTCACTTTGCGTCAGTTGTTGGAGCACCGTCACATATATTGGCGGCCCACCGTTGTCGTGTTCCTCGATATCAAAGGTGCATTCGATTCGGTGGATAGACATGCACTTTGGGACTGTCTACTCAGGAAAGGTGTACCTGAAAAATATGTGAATATTATCCGAGCATTATATGCGCGTAGCTCGGGAAGAGTGAGGGCTTACGGCAAGTTGTTGTCGTCCTTTAATATCTCCAGCGGTGTGAGACAAGGATGCCCGCTGTCACCTTTCCTCTTCAACTTCGCTGTTGACGAAGTCATAGAAATCGCGTTCACAGGACACGACTTAGAAGGCGTGGAGTTACTCCCGGGAGAACGACTTCTTGATTTAGAGTATGCTGATGATATTGCCCTAATCTGTGACAGCTCACAAACGTGCCAATCGGCACTGGACAGATTAGCACTAGCTGTCCGTCACTTCGGGCTTTGCTTCGCACCCTCGAAGTGCAAAGCGTTCCCCCAAGATTGGCCTGGACCGCCACCTACGCTGACCCTTGGCGGGTATCAGCTAGAAGTCGTTCAAAAATTCAACTACCTGGGAAGTTGTATCAGCGCCCGTGGGATTGAAGATGAGATCACGAACCGTATAGCAAAAGCTCAGGGCGCTTTTGCTAACCTTCGCCACTTATGGCGCCGGCGCGACATCACTCAAGCCCTGAAGGGGAGAGTATACAATGCAGCGGTACGTTCGACCCTACTGTACGGTTGTGAAATCTGGCCGCTTAAAGCAGGGGACCTGAAGAGGCTAGTTACGTTTGACCACCGGTGCCTTCGCAATATAGCGCACATCTGGTGGGAACACCACGTGAGCAACGAGCGTGTTCGACGCCTTGTTTATGGCACAGGAAAAGAAACTGAACCGCTCAGCACTGTTATTTCACGCACCAGCCTCCGATGGCTCGGCCATTTGTTACGCATGCCAGCCCACCGACTCCCGCGATGTGCGTTGTTTGCGCGCCGGGGGTGTGGATGGAAGAAGAGGAGGGGTGGCCAAGCGATGACTTGGTCCAGAGGAATGAAGGCCCTCACTTCGAAACTGGCCTCGGTTGGAACGTCTCGGCTCCCTGGTTGGGGTCCGAAAGACGATGAACACGTTTGGTTGGACACACTTGCTGATAGGGCTAGGAGCCGACCTCAGTGGCGTTCATGCTGTGAGTTTCTTTGTCCCACCCCACCAATCTTAGCCTCCCCTCCAACCACGATCTCATTATTTATCCCTATATAATTTTGCACAGTAATTTTTTGATGCACAGTAGCCGGCTAGTAGCTTACCGGAACGATGCCCATCCGTTACCGGTAGTTCAGCCAGCTTGCACCAGCTGCATTTTTTCTCCTTTTTTTCTACGTATTGCGGCACAGTAGCTGAGGTGTTCCCCACCTCTAGCTAACGTGTATGATGATGATGATGATAATCGAAAACATGCTACTGCTGGTCTTTCCCTTCATTTTTTCCCACTTGTTACTCTGTATTCCATCCCGACCCCATTACTAACCTGAAATCCCCAGCTTAATTGACAGCAACCGAAGTGCCACTTGAGTAGAATCATTGCAGTCACTTTCCCACAACACGCATCGGATGCCTATCGGCAACAGTCCCTTTTAAAACCACGCTGCCCAGTTTCCATGGTGGCGTTCAACGTTCGCACTCTAAGAAAAGTAGGTCAACAGGGTGCACTCGCACGCACCTTGGACACACTGGGTATTGACGTGCGTTGTGTGTCCGAAACTAATGGGGTTGTTGAATTAACTGCACCCAGTTTGTCCTCTCGCTATTGGTTCCACACATCCAGAGACGCCGATGCAGCAATCATGGGCCAAGCTGGTGTAGGTATCATTCTAAGCTCCTAGGCTGAGCCATCGTTGGTTGATTGGATTCTGGTGAACAGCCATTTTTGTGCAGCCCGTTTGACGAAATCGACCAAGACTGATACACGAAGTACCGCTTATGATCCAAACAACTGCAGTTCTAATGCTGTCAAGGACATTCTACCGAGAACTGAACATGCTACTACGCAGTGCTACTAGTTCAGATAGTAGAGTACTTGCAGGGGATATGAACGCACAAGTAGGGCGTATGAGCTCTTCAGTAGCTCAGCTAGGTGGTAATTATGGGCGTAACTCCGAGCGGACTGACAACGGCGAGCGTCTGTTGCAACTGTGTGCGGAGCACCAGTTGCTTCTTAGTAGCACTGCTTTCAGATACAGTGAGCGCCGAAGTGCCACTTGGCGTCAACCTGTAGCTGACCAGCGATGTACCCAAATTGATCACATTGCCACAAGTTACAGGTGGTGTGGTTCCATCCTGGATTGCCGCTACTACTGGAATACTTGTGTCGACTCTGATCATGCCTTGGTACATAGTCGTTTCTCCATGAACTTTAACGGGAGGCGCACCAAGCGTCTCCTCCAATTGGCAACTGAAAAATGGTCTCAGCCCTCGGTCAGGTAAGCCTATCAAGACGCACTGCGTACCGAACTTTCGTTGTCTTGTCCTAATGACGCAGAGTTTCAGTGGAATAAGATCTCGGCCATCACGCACGACGCAGGAGAATCTACTTGCAGCACTATCAATCGTTATCGCGTTAGTCACTGGATATCAGACAGGTCGCTGAACCTGTTGGGATCCAGAAGAAATCTCCCTGCTGGCTCCGAACACAATGTGGCCAGACGGACTATTAGGCTCGAAATAAAGCGGAGCCTACGTGCTGACAAGGAAGCCTGGTGGACCAGTAGGGTTCAATAAATGGAGGAGGCAGGAGCAGGAGGCAATTACCGCAAGCTCTTCCAGCTGATCCGTATCACTGGTCCCAGGAAACCAGGGGTCAGTGAGACAATCGGAGACAGCTAGGGCGCACTGATTCACAATAAGGAGTGCCGTATGGTTCGCTGGGCGGAGCACCTTCAAAATCAGTTCAGCTGGCCCCGTCCGCCTGCACCTCTCCCTACTCAAGTGACGCAGGACGAGCCAGGTACGGTTAGTTCAGAGCCTTCGTCGGAGGTCAAGGTCCGAAAGGTGATCACAGTCCTCAACTATTTTCGTGCAGTGGGTCTAGATGCCCTACAACCTGCACCATTCAAGGATGGAGGTGAGGTCCTCTGCAAAGCACTGACTTCCCTGTTCGAACATATCAGGAGGGAAGTGTCCCGGCTAACTGGAGTGAATCAATGTAGTGGCAATATACAAGAAGGGCAGTCGCACAGACTGCGCCAACTACAGGAGTATTAGCCTAACGCCAGTTGTAACAAAATTACTGGCCTCGATTTTGGTTCGTCGCCTCACTGTGGAACAAAAATGTGAACATCCTACGTGCTCTATACTCAAACACTACAGGCCGCGTCAGGGTCTACGGTGTCCTATCGGATAGCTTTCCGACCACAAGTGGCGTTCGACAGGATTGCCTGATTTCCCCATTTTTGTTCAATTTCGTCGTGGATTCTAGCATGGAGTGTTCCCTCGCGGAATCTCCCCATGTAGGCCTTGAAGTGCTGCCTGGTGAAAGATTAGTTGATCTTGATTATGCCGACGATATCATCTTGCTTTTCGACGATGTTGCGGCGGCACAATCAACCCTGAATAACCTGTCTAAAGTGGTCCCATTATTTGGTATACGCTTCGCACCTTCAAAGTGAAAAGTGTTGCTGCAGTACCACCAGCCACTCTATGTCGCCTTGACACGTGCTAACGCGGAACTTGAGGTGGTTGATCAATTCACAGTTGCATCAGCAACGATGGGCACACAGAAACTGAAGCCAGTTCACGCACTGAAAAAGCCAGAACTGATTTGTTGAATCTGCGACATCTTTGGCGACAAAAGGGAATTTTCCCCTGTCTAAAAGGACGTGTATACAAAGCCACAATGAGGGCCGTCCTGCTCTATGGCAATGAAACTTGACCCCTTCGGTCTGAAGCGTCTTCAAGTCTTTGATCATCGTTGCCTGCGAAGCACTGCTAGTGTCGGATGGCAGCAGCATGTCCGCAACGATGATGTGCGTAGGCGAGTACTAGGCAGTGATAAGCATGCTAGCTCCCTAGAACAACAGATAGCACCGCATAAATTGCGTTGGCTCGGACAGGTGCTACGTATGCCGGGTCACCGCTTACCTAGGAGGGCCCTATTTTGTCTGCCAGCTATATGGTGACGCAAAGCTCGAGGTGGAAAGAAGTTGACTTGGCAGCGGGAAATGAAGGCATTGACGAGCACACTAGGCATCGTTGGTCAGGGCTGGAGTCCACGTGACTCGCGTTGTGCTTTGCTCGAGACTTTACAAGATATGGCTCGCAACCGACACCAGTGGCGCGTCCGCTGCCGTCTCCTAATCGGATTGCCTGCTTAAAGTGTGTTTGGTGTTGAGTTATCTGCGGGGTAATGGCTGATTTTGACGCGGGCAGTGAAAGCCGTAAGGAAACTGTCTCGTTGATGCCGCCTTATCGCTGCACGATAGCCAGCCATTTGTGACGATATGTTGCTAACACAAGGTGTAGGCGTCTTAACTCTGAATATTTGTTTAGAATATTAAGGTCTACAGGTAAGTTCCCCTTCTCTCCCTCTTATTATTCTTTATTCCAGATGGCACCGAAGCATCAGTTCCAATGACTGATGTACTGCTGTTGTTGGTGACCGACGGAAAAATTTCCCGATGGAATAATTGGGGAAATACCAGAAGAAATGTAAGTGCATCACTGACTTCACGACCGCACTAGACCTGATAATGGCTGATCACAATTGTGGCCAATTCGAGGTCTCCAGTTACGAAAACATCAAAGGTCAACTCCAGTTAGGTTTTCACTGAGCTTATTCATGCTCCCGTGCCATTTCGATGACTGACCACCCCGGAAGGACACCCCAACGGACACATTGTTATCGAACAGCAAACCGAATCAGCTGGCAGTAGGCATACGGAGCACATGGTAGATGCACGAGTATGGCTCATTCTACTGGCAGTAGTGTCCGGACCACGGTCCAGCTGTGCAATCAAACCTTGGGTGATTTTGATGTGCTATCGTGAACGTACTTTTATAAAGTGCGTTTTATGCATGTAAGTAGTGTCCATCTCGGTTATCACATCTACGGTGGGACGCTGAAGATGGATGGTTCCGGGGTGAGAGGCTGAGTGTGAGACAACCATCTGGATGCCACCGTTTGCCGATGACTGCGCAGTAGTTATCCGTAAAGATGATTTGCAATGTATGACGACGGCTCTCGCCTCGATGGTGGCACAGGTAAGACGGTATGTCATTTTCAGCCTCCACCTGGAACGGGGTCAGTGGATGCCAGTAATCAAAACGGCTGACCTCACTACGATCTTGCTGCCCCAAAAACATGTTGCCAACGGATTTGCAAATGTGCACCCGCTTATCGAAGACAAATGCTACTTCCGGAAAGCTGGGGTATCGAGAATTGAAGACACAGTAGTTAAATCGTAGGATCAAGCTGATGGTGCACAAACGAACGGCGCCGCCAGTTCTCTACAACCGTGATACATGGACCCTATGCATCATCGTCATTATAAACGTTAGCTAGAGGCGGTAAACACCTCATTTATGCAAAATGGATTACTATCTGGAGCCAGTTCGTCAGCACTGCCTACGTCATTTTCCGCGCATTCATTGATGTGACAGAGTATTTGATACGGATTTCATCATCCGGAGCCGAATACACATGTTGGACTGCATACAAGTGTCGTGCAACCTGAGGTAGCTCGAAAGGTGCATCGTACGGATGCAAAGAGAAAACAGAAAGAGTACCTATAATACGCCGTTACGTAGAATCGACCACCAGCAGTTGCGTGCCAGCCGGTGATACTTGGGGTTGCCAACAGTTAAGAAGGTTCGAACTGGTAAACGGTGAATCAAAGTTGGACGGGAAAATACCTTGGCAACCGAACGGTGAACCTGGGTTACTAGAATGAACACAGTAAAAATGAGAACTGGCATCCGCTGGAGACTAGTTACTAGATGTCAGAGAGCAAGTCATCACAGTGTTTACACCAAGCAGTGGCAACTAGATGTTGGATGCAGTCAATGCAGTAGAATAAACAAAGAGCTAGGACAAAGAAACATAGCGCTCCAGACAAACGAGACTGCCCTAATGCGCTAATTTCTAGGATTCGGATAAGTAGGTACCTCTGAAGAGCAGTTAGTGAACCAGAAATATTCCTTCACTCACGACTTTGATTCTCCCAACCATTAATTTGTTTTACTGACTGCAAAGTCCCATCACTCGCGTTCTCTCGGCAAGTCGCGAGCTGACACTCCATGTTCTTGCATATCTACTTCCCATTCTGAATAGTTCGTACTCAGTGCGATTCTTACTGGTTATCACCGCAGCTAATACACAAGTTGCAGAATGAACACACTATTAATTTCGAAAATGTGAGATTAAACAGCTGGAAAGTCGATATATGTAGCTAAGGTTTAGCAGATGCAAAATGTTGTATAAGAACTTAGCAGCTGACGGATTAAGAACCAAACACATCGAAGTACTACACAGAGAGAAAAGTGACTTAGCGAGATTGAACGATTGCCCACCTTCTCACCAGTAGGCGAAACGCCTTTGCCTTCCTCTTCAACATGGAAACGGAGATTTTCCAGCAAAAATACGGATCCAGGAGCAGGATCAGCGCACGCCTTAATCACTTCAGGGCCCACGCAATCAGGAAGGAATGTCACTGACTTGCCCAACAACTTCGAAACTTCAGTTGCAACAGGTTCTAGAGAGTATTTAGCGACCTTAACTCCATCAGGGCGGCCAAGGTGGGACATCAGGACAACACTTTTCGCTCCATTATCAAGAGCGTACTTTATCGTAGGTAAAGCAGCGGCGATTCTCGAGGTAAGTGAGTGAGCAAGACGGTGCATACCTCTGGTTGTTAGTGATTTTTCCGTCCTTCATTGGCACGTTAAAATCAACTCTAAATCCACGATAAGCGATTAAGTTGTAGTGCCATACCTCATCAGAACTCTCTTGTTTTTGAGGTCAACGTTTGCAATATTGAGCTTTCGAAGACCCATCGGGAAGATCACGTACGCACAAAAATATTTCGAAGAACGCAGCTGACCCCAACCTTGAAGTATATCATAGTTAACGAATCAGGCATAAAAACAAAGCACTATCCAAAGTAGCGTGCTTCACAGGTGCCAATAGCGTGTTGCGCATACAATTGCAGTATCACCTTATTAATGTTACGAAAATGTTTATCTGCATTTATCATAATTCATACTGAAATTTTGGGAAAATAGTGTACAGGTTTATACATGATATAAAATTATATTATGCTAAATATTCCATTAGATCCGTGAGCTTATAGACCGATTTATGTTGTACCGATACACGCTTTTTTGGAACTTGTTGGAAACTTCTTGTGATTCGTAGCTTTAATCTCGCTTTTCATCCATCCTTGAAAACAAGCTGCAAATACATTTACCGTGTTACACCTGTAATTGTACTTCTTGCTGTTCTTCATTTCTGTATGTCAGTGTCCTTAAAGATCGACGTATTTTGCATTAGGGTCTCTCGCTTTTTGCTTCTGGTACAGCTTGATGATTCAGTTTAGTTCAGTTCAGTTGAGATGGGACTGGAACGATGGGAGAATCCCGTGAGTGTTCCATCTTGAGTGGATCGTTGTGCCAGGAATTGACGAAGTGCTCAGTTATCGATGGATCTAAAACGGAGCACCCGTATCGCACCCTGGCCAATCAGTTAATGCCCAAGTTTCCTGCGCTAGCAGTCCTGTAGGGACCTGGAGATTCCCCTGTTTGGCTGCCGCATGCTGCGTAATATATTACAAAATCACAAAATTATATTTTCACTATGTACATAGCAAATTAGCCGCTCGCCTGTTTGAACGTTGCTCGCGTTTGTTTGAGTCAACAAGGCATCCGCCTTCGAACGGCGCGACGCTCATCGACGCCGCGGCCATCTTTGCTCTCCGCGCACGCGACCACACCTTCCCCTAGCTAGCTATCTTCCGGTGCCTTATTTTTAGCACTAGATACCGTTTCGCCACACTTACTAAATTTTTCCTAGCGTTGCGTTTGGTGTTCTACACTCATCGGAGGTTGGCCTTATATTCGCGTATTGGTTCTAAAGCGTACCGATCCTGCCTAACGCTTTTTTGGTGACCATGACTTTTGGTCATTATCCGGTGAGTTTTCGCTAATCTTTCTTTTCAGATTTGGCCACATTTTTTTCGCTTACCCATCTGATTTTCACTTTTCATTTTCCGGTTTAATCTCGCTTTCTCGCTATTTTGCTCGCTATGGAAACTGATCGCGTAGATTCTGACGTTCAGATCGGCACAGTTACGCCTCCTATCGCACCTTTTCGCGAGACTAAGCCTAAGTCTTGGGTTGGTCAGCTAGAGTCGCAATTTTCTTTGCGTGGGATTAGGTCCGAAAAGACCAAGTTCCACTTGTCGTTTCCGCGCCTTCGCTAAATGTCATCGATGACATTGGTGACATTCTAGATCTTCCTGACGACCGAAAGACTTACCATGCAGTGAAGACAGCTGTTCTGAGAAGAACAGGCTTATCCGATTGACAACGATTTACGAAACTCCTCAACGAAACTGATCTTGGCGATCTTAAGCCGTCTCAACGGCTTCGAAAAATGCAGAGCCTAGCTAAACCCACTTCGATAGATGATTCTTTTCTTCGGGAAATGTGGTTGCATCGACTTCCGCGCGAGATGCTACACATCCTCTGCGCTAGTGAGGATGCACCTTTATCCAAATTGGCCGATACAGCCGACCGAATTTGGAAGTCGTACGGCCGGGTTTCGCAGGTCCAGGCGAAACCGGACGACGCTATCACCACGTTTAAGTCCCAGTTGGCAACATTGACTCGTCAATTCGCAGACTTTTCGACCTCCGGACATAACCGCTGTAAATGCTCTAGAAGTCGTTCACGTTCACGTTCGAACGCTCCTTCGCGATCCCCGAATAGAAACGGTTACTGCTGGTACCACGAACGATTCGGCCAGCAAGCTAAATCATGTCACCCGCCCTGTTTCTTCAAACGACAGCAGCACGTAGGGACGACGGACGTAGCTGGTCAACGCAGTCGTCTTTTCTTCGTCACCTATCGCAGAACCGGAGTTTGCTATCTCGTCGACACTGGCGCTGAAGTCAGCGTTCTCCCGCGTGGTCCAAACGACCCGATTGCGAAGGTGACTAGCTCATTGCGCGCAGCTAACGGGACCATTATCCACGTATATGGTCAACGCTCGCGCACGCTAAATCTCAGCCTCCGACGCGCTTTCAAATGGATATTCCTCGTTGCGGATGTTCAAACGCCTATCCTTGGTCTCGACTTCTTACGTCATTACGACCTACTCGTCGACGTTAAGCGACACCGTCTCGTCGACCGCCTTACGAATCTCGCAGTCATTGGGACTTTGACCGACACCGCGTCAATCAGTCCCGTGTACGAGACACAACTTAGTTCACCCGTCGGGTAAACGCTGCTCGATAGTTTTCCGCAGGCCTTCCGTCCTGCCGTCCCGTTACCTTCCGCAACCGACGCCGCGACACATCACATCGTTACGAAAGGTCCGCCTGTGTTCGCAAAAGCCAGGCGCATGACCCCGACAAGCTCAAAATTGCACGCTCCGAATTCGAGCACATGCTAGATTTAGGCATTATTCGCCCGTCTAAGAGCCCGTGGGCGTCGCCTCTACACATGGTGCCTAAAAAGTCAGGAGACTGGCGTCCATGTGGCGACTATCGCGCTCTCAATAACGCTACCGTCCCCGACCGTTATCCGATTCCGCGCATTCAGGACAGCACGGCTAGCCTACGTGGCGCCCGTGTGTTCTGGAAGATCGATCTGGTTCGCGCTTACCACCAGATTTCTGTAGCCGAGAATGACATTCCGAAAACCGCAGTCATCACGCCTTTCGGACTTTTCAAATTCTTGCGAATGCCCCTCGGTCTTCGCAACGCAGTTCAGACTTTTCAACGCTTCATAGACTCTGTCACGAGAGGTCTCGACTTTGTTTATCCTTAGATAGACGACATTTTAGTAGCTAGTTCTTCCGAAGAACAGCACGCGGAGCACCTCAAGATGCTTTTCGAGAGGTTAGCCTCTTATATCATTACTGTCAACGCTGACAAATGCATCTTCCAGCAACCATCTATCCAATTTCTTGGTCATCGAATTGACCAGCATGGCATACGGCCGCTCGAAGACCGAGTCAGCGCCACTAAGGACTTTCCCGTTCCGACTACTTTGGCCGCCATCCGCCGTTTTAGTGGGATGATCAACTACTACCGTCGATTTCTGCCACGCGGTGCCGACTTGCTCAGTCCATTGACCGGCTTACTTCGTGGACGCAAGAACGGCAACGTCGAGTTGACGCCCGCTGCAACCGAAGCCTTCAAGGCCTGCAAAGGGGCCTTGGCTGAAGCCGTTAGGCTTCACCATTTCGACCCCTAAGCTCCACTCAGCGTTGCAGTCGCTGCATCGGACACCGCCATTGGCGCCGTCCTGCAGCAATTTACTAAAGGGTTGCTGGAAACCACTCGCTTTCTACTCCCGACGCTTACAACCGGCAGAAGTTAAGTACAGCACGTTCAGCCGCGAACTGCTGGCAGTTTATTCTACTGTCCGACATTTCGGGCACGTCTTAGAAGGTAATTCGTTCGTTGTCTTCACCGAGCAAAAGCCGCTTATTTACGCCTTTCGAAATCAATCAGCTCGATACTCATCACGTGAGGTTCGTCAGCTGGATTTCGTGGCTCAATTTTCTACCGACCTCCGAGATATTGCAGGTCAGAATAACGTCGTTGCTGGAGCTCTTTCGCGCGTCTCCGCAATCCACACCGCTGGCCAGGCAATCGGCTTATCTGCCATGGCTACCGCGCAACTAATCGACACTGACTGTCGGAACGTCAACCAAGATTCTTCGCTACGAATCACATCGCATCCACTGCAGTCATCTGATGGCACAACCTTGGGCGATACTTCTACTGGACGACCTCGACCCGTCGTTCCAGAAACCTTTCGACGTCTAGTTTTCGACAAACTTCATAACATCGCTCATCCAGGCATCCGAGCCACGATCATGCTCATATCCGAGAGATACGTTTGGCTCGGAATGCAACGCGATCTTAAGCGCTGGGCACGCGGTTGTCCAACGTGTCAGCAGGCCAAGATACAGCGGAACGTGTCCGCTCCGCTTGGTCGTTTTCCGCAAGTCTCAGCTCGCCTCGCCCATGTCCATCTCGACATAGTTGGACCCTTGGCACCATCCAGAGGAATGGTCTACATTCTGACCATGATCGACCGATACACCCGTTGGCCCGAGGCCGTACCTATACCCGACGTATCCGCGGACACCGTAACGCGCGCTTTTGTTGAGCGTTGGGTAGCTTCACATGGCTGTCCAGCCACCGTGACTACCGACCGCGGTCCGCTGTTCGAATCCTCGACCTTCAACGCTCTTCTCAAAGTCCTCGGATGTCAGTGCATCCGGACTACCGCCTATCACCCGCAATCCAACGGCAGGGTGGAACGTTTCCACCAACAGCTGAAGGCCTCACTTAGTGCCGCTAATTCACTAAGCTGGACTGAAGCACTGCCTATGATACCACTTGGTACCCGATCAGGTCTTAAAGCTGATTTGCACACGTCCAGCGCCAAACTGGTATATGGACAACCTCTTCGACTACCTGGGGACTTCTTTTCTGGAAACCCCAGAACACCCTGCCACGACGCGAATTACGCTCGACAGTTAGCCACGAGCATGCGTCATATCAAAGTACCCGACGTGCGAGAAAAACGACGTAAATCGTTCGTTCCACAAGATTTACTGCATTGCGCTTACGTTTTCCTTCGAGTCGATGGTCTGCGCAGACCACTCAAACGACCCTACGAAGGTCCATTTAAGGTTCTTAAACGTAAGGACCGCGTATTCGTTATCGACCGCCACGGTAAACGTGAAACTGTCTCTATCGACCGTCTCAAGGTTGCCCATGTGGAACCTGAGTTCGGCGATGACTCCCGTCCACCTTCGGACGAGTCAACGCAGCCTATGATCGACGACACACCTACTTCCGATGCTAAGAAGCATACTCCGACTGACCCTCCCGACTCAGTTCATGCCGATT